TTTTATGGAAGAGCAGAGGATGTTAATAAATATATAGAAGATGTGAAAAGATGGGTAACAGTTTTAGGATTACCTACGGGAGCAGAACCAGATGAACCATATTATGGAGACTCTAAAAATAATAAATATAAACATGCAACAGAATATAAAACAGGAGGACATAGATATAGAGGAGCTACAGGAAATAGACATAGAGATGGGCTAGCACTGATAGAAGCACAAGTAAATACCACAGGGATAACACATACAGCAGGAGCAGACCCTATCAACCCACCAGGACACTGTGAAAGAGCAAAACAAGTAATAGATATATTAATAACTAAATGGAAAGCTACAGCAGCAACAATGTTCAGAGGCCTAAAAGAACATGAAAAACCAAGAACATTGGAACCATTTAGATTTTGGTATACCACGCCAGGAGGGTATGAACGACAAATAGATGGCCCAATAGGACTCTATGAATTAATAAGGAGAACTTGGGTATCACCAACATATAATGCTGAAGCATATCATAGGCTAATGAATATGGAATATGACCATACACAATATGAAAGTTTATCAAATTTTAATATCCAATTTGATAATGCAATGAGAGAAGCACAATTAAATACTAACAATCATGAATTCTCACTAAAAAATCAATATATAACAGCATTAAGAAACTATCCTGATTTAGTAAAAACAATTAATGACCATACCGCAGCAGTAGAAGCAAGTGGAGGAAATGTAACATTACAAGGAATAATGACTTATGCAGCACAGAGAATGATAAAAGATGATATGAGACAATTATATTACAAAAATCCTTATGAAAAAAATTATAATAGACAAAGAGGAAGAGGAGGACGAAGGAATATACAAGGAACTAGGAGAAATAGATTTGGAATAAGAAACATTCAAATATCAGAAGATAAAACAAAACATATTAATGAATTTGGAAATGAAGATCATTATGTAGGACAAGGAAAATTTGGATATGGACCTTCAGGAGGAACAATTAAGATGGAATTGCATAAACAGAAAAGAGAACAAACTAAATGCTTCAAGTGTGGAGAACTAGGACATTATGCAAATGAATGTACAGGAAAAAGAATGGAATCAACAACTAAAGACAAAACATGTGACTTATGTGGAGAATTGGGACACATTAAAAAACAATGCCCACAAAATATAATAAATGAATCAAAATCAATGGCAAGAGATAGAAGAAAGGAACAGGAAGTATTAAACAGTACAACTAAATGTTTTAATTGTCAAGGATTAGGACATATGGCAGGAGACTGTCCAACACCAGATAAAAGAAACATGCTTTCAGCAGTTAAAATACAATTAATGAGAAAGATTTGCCATTCATGTAATGGAAATGGACATTATTCTTATGATCATAAAAAAGTAAATGTATTTATCAAGAAATATAATAAAGGAAGTAGATTAATAATAAAAAATGACAATGAAAACAATTATGACGATAGGCAATATAATCATTACAATAAAAGAAACTTTATTAGACAATATACTGGAAAAAGAAAAGTAGTTTTTAGAAAAAGAAATAGTTACTATGGAAACTGACAACACTCGGAATATTTTGATAACTTGAATAAAGAACAAAAGTTATTGAGAATAACTAATAATATGAGAAAAGAGATACATGAACCACAGATAAATTTTATACAAACAGCTTTAATGTCAACATTGACATCTATATTAGGAAATAAATTAAAGGATTTGATAATCACTGCTTTAAAAGATAAGACCGGAAAATTTCTTAAGAGCCATTTTAGGAAACGATGTACAGAGATAATCCGTGAATTTATAATATCACAATTAAAAGGGAAGTTCACCGAATATCTAACAGACTTTATAATGACATATGTGGAAGCCAATATGGATAAAATATTGACTAATAGCACAACTCAACAAATAGCTGAAAAAATCACTAACAACATAGTTAATGGTTTAGGAACATATTTATTTCATTAAAACACTCAACGTCATAACATCTCTGATAGAGCTTTATACTGATACAAAAATCTCTTTTTTGTTGATTGTATGACTCATCTATTTTAACCCAAATTCCGAAGAGACCACGGCAATAAAAAATTATAAATAGCACTAAGACGTGACTTAGAGAAAAATAATTGAGAAAATATGGAATGCAAAATAACAAAACAACTTACTAGCAGATGGACTATACCCAAGGAAGTTTTAGGAGACACATGGGAACCAAAACTAAGAACTATAGAAAAATTAGATAATTTAACAGTGAATCAATGGTTAAATAAATGGGAAGTATTTGGAAAACAAGAAATTATCAAACAACTCAAAAATAAATGGGAAAACCCTAGACCAACAACTTTAGAAGAAATGATTGAAAAAACATGGGATAAAAAGTACAGAAAATCAGAAAAAATAGGAATTCGGTCTGCCATAACTGTTGAAGAATTAAATGAAGAATTATCACAATTAAAAAAGGAGGAAGAAACTATAAAAAGGGAACCTTGAGATATTTGAGATCACGTAAGAATCACTATCAAAAGAATCTTATCAGAAGAAGAGTGGTATAACTCAAAATACCCTAAAATTGAAAGAAAGAATTTTATATTACAAAAAAATATAAAAAGGGACAAGAATAAACTCTAGGACAATAATTCTAAAATCAAAAATGAACCGAGTATTCAGACAACAGGATCTTGTCAAAACCCTTCAAGAAAAAGAACGAGAAATAGTAAGATTAAGATTAGAACTTAAACAAAAAAATGACCAAGAACGAGAAGGACAAAAGAAAGCACTTGCAGAACTTGAAAAAATAGAAAAGAGTTTTGTAGCATATAAAGAAAAAGAAAAAC